CCATCCTAAGGTTGCCGTCAACCAAAAGAAACAGAAGCCAGAGGTGTGTTGGGAGCCGCCACAAAAATATGGTGAAGGACAACCCAAGGGAAACCGGACCTGCTGTATCTTTGGGGGGGCTTTTGTGTAGACGGGACTGTTCTGTGTGGCGGTCTCACCACGAAGCTTTGACCCTTGGCTTTGGCGCAACTAAAGGGCCAACAAACCCCCTGTGGGCAACCCGCCATCCGCTTTTTGTTGGATACCCGGTGGATCCCCAGTGACCTCGACAGTAACCCTTCGCCATTTTCGTGTTGGTCTTCAAGGGACGGCAACCCCTTGGTTGAAAAACAAACACCAGGGAGATGGAATCACTAGAAAGGGAAACCATACCGAGGCTCGGCCTTTTTGGGTAACCAAGGAGCCCCCCAAAAAAAAACGGGGGAGGGGGGAACAAAAACGCCATGAAGTGGATAGAGTTCTCTCGGCTCCTCGTGCACGCCGTGGGAGCTCACGTAGATGCCGTCCAGGAACTTTCGGATATCCTTCTTCTTGCAGAGGCAGGACCTTCGATCGCGATCGCAGAAGGGTCACTTCTCCTGTACACTGGCAGAGGGGTCATGTGGTCCAAGGTTTGCCCAGTGGCCCTGGGAGGAATAACAGGAACTCGTTTTTGGGGGCTCCTCCTGCCGGTTCCCCAATGAATAGCATCCAGCCATGGGGTCTAGTGTTCTTTCAAGGGTCAGCGTTCTCCACTGAGGGTCCGGGTAACTAGATTGCCAGGCTTCCAACTAGGTCTCCCACCTCCAGCCCCCCCTGGTTTCAAATTTTCTCCTACTCAACTAACCATGGAACCCAGAAAAGGAAGTCCCCCAAAGAAGATTCCTCCAAACACCGAGTTTTTTTTGGTGCTGTTCTTTTCGCTCCAGCTCCTTCTTTTCTCCTGGCGCCTTCCTTTTTTTTCTCTCGCCCAGCTGGGCCTTTGATCCATCCCACGGATCCCACGGATCCCAGGGCACGGATCCCACGGATCCCACGGATCCCACGGAGTCCGAGGCGCTGGTGGATCAGCGCGGTGGAGCGGCCCGCCAGCTCGATGTCGGTGCCGCTCACGATGATCTCGTCCTCGGTGGCGCGCCGGCGAGCGAGCGAGCGAGCGGTTCTTTCGAAGGGAGGGAGGCTGTTGGTGGAACCTCCTCACTTCTTTTCTCGTCAAGTCGTGAATTTGTTGTTGAGGGTACCAACCTAAGCGAGCGAGCGCGTGCGAGCGGTTGCGAGCGCACTTCCGATCGAGCAGATTGGCCAGAAAGAGTCTGAAACTTGTTGTTTACCACTCAAATGGCCTTCCCGAAACATAGTTTGAGAAAAGGTCCCAACCATGTACCCCTGGATAGGTGCCCCTTCAACATGCCAGTGAAGCTCAAGAATGGGACATAACGAGTATAGAGCCATGATTCCCAACGGCATACCAGTGGTTCCTGCCTGGATCTGAGAAAAGGATTCTCCAATACTTCTCTCGGGATATTTAGCTAACATCATTCTTCCCAAGAGACCCATTCAAAGCACCTGCAACCCAAGGTGGAAAGAGCCCGTCCGAGCCAGGTGGAACCAAAACCTGCCGGCGCGCAATCCATCCCAGGAACCAAGGACTCCAAAATGCAGAACCCTGCAGGTGGACAAAATCAACTTCGCACCAGTTGGGATAGATGATTCTTTTGTGCCCGCCAATTCCAGCTGCTGCCGATCGCTGTGGATTTTGTCCACCGACAAAAAGGTTCCAAAAAAGCGTTCACATGTGGGTGTGTCTCTTCTTGAGTTCGGGATAGTACGGGCAAAAACGGAACCTATCTTTCTAAAATTGGAGTCCAATATTCCGAGCCACACTAAACAAGAGCAACTTCTCTCCACAAACCAAGGATCCAGAAGCATCAGGAGCCATAAGGGCAACTAACAAAGCTGTGATTCCGAGACCAAGCGGCTCGGTTCACATAGCAGAAATCATTCAACATGGTTTCCCCAAAAGATACGAGCCTCAACAAAAGAACGCCACGTGAGCCTCTTAGACGACGGGACGGCACCAAACATTTGCTTAAGCCCCCTGGCAAAAAAATAAAACAATATGTGTCCGGTGGTGATAGATTCCCTTTAAAACCAACAGGGGAAATTAAAATACACACGCAGGTGTCCTTTTAGGGGAAATAGATGGATATCCCTGGTAGATGATCTTGGCAAAACCAGGACGCCATCCACTTTTCGACCAAAACAACCAAAAAGGACACCTATGAACAGATCCCCTGCTAAAAGTTTAACTTTTAGTGGGTGAAATTCCGAAATCCAACCACTAAAACAATAAAAGGCTCTAAAAAGCTAAGTTGAACCGGACGGCTGGGGTTGCCACCAAGTTAAGCCCAAACTTGAAGGTTTGCTTAAGCAGAAAAACAAATATCCAGCATTTATGGACTCCCTGTTACCAGCAGGGGAAAATCCAACACATTCTTAAGCGAACGGAACGAGAGGTCTCGTCTCGCGCCTTGGTGTTGCTGCTCTTCTCTACGGCAATGCCTGGCAACATGTGCACCTCAGCGCCGACAACTCCGCGCGCGTTTTTCCCGGTGCTTGGAGTCTTCACAGCCGGTGTGGCGGTAAAAAGCTTTCTTTGCAGACCCATTCCTAAAAAATGAGCAGAACAAAAAACAAACATATATATATATAACATATATAAACAACTCAGACCCATTCAAAAAAAAAGCAGAACAAAACAAATATATATATATATATATAAACAACCTGCCAAGAACAGTGACTGATTGGTTCTGCTTGGATGCTTGGATTGCTTCTGGTTTGGCTGTTGGAAAACCGGTGACTTTCGAAAGCGAAATGGTGAAAAGGTGGGAGGGAAACAAGGAGGTTTCTTGGACACTGGCATGTGTTGACATGAAAGTCTTCATTTCATGTGTCCAGCTTGCAACCTGCCATTCCCATGTTTGCCCATTTTGGGCCAGCCAGGTTGATGATCACGTGATTGGAGTCAGTTTCCCATGGGTGTTTGTCACAATAGGACCCCTCAAATGGCTCCTTTTTGGCTTCCCTTTAAACCAACCCAAAAAGGTAGCCTCGCAACCAACCTGCGATTCAAAAGATCTACGCATCCAAAGAATTCAGCCAGCCGCTTGCTCTGCAGTCGCCAGGGGGCAAAACGTCCAAGGGTGGTACGACCTGGGCTTCCTCGTTGGTTGTGGCTGCAAATGTGTGTGTGTGTGTGTCGGCTGTGTTCAGCGTCAAATGTGTTTGTTCATAGGTTTGGAATCTTGATTATATAGTTGTTGCTGGGGCGTGCTATCAGACACTCCGTGTCTTTCCAGCAAGTATCGGGGGCAGTACGGATTTCTTGACAACCCACTTGTCACTCCCCCAAGTGATGGCTCTGCATCTCTTTTCCTAAACTTTTCGCAGGCCTCCAAAAGAAATCAAAGTGCACTAGGGTCCTTGTCTTCGGGTGGTTTCTATCGGGGTGACCTCTCTATTCATGGACATATGTTGGCAATATTTGGGATCAATCGGAAAAATAGAAATTACTCAGCATTGGGCCGCCCAGTGGGGAGAATATCCACTTTGGGGACCTCTTTGATTGGCACAGGTTCGCATGAAATCCGAAGTCGACCTTAACTAAGCGACAGAGGGGGGCACTCAGTAGACACGGGAAACAGGGCACCCCTGTTGTTGGTTTTTGATTGTCAAAAAAAAAAAACTGAATGCTTCCCCAATACGAATCCAAATGGATGCCCTAGACTTAAATCGGACGTCGCTCCTGTTTGATTGCTTTCCGAGGCACAGTTCGCACCACCTTCTCTCCCAAGAAGTTTCGAATCTCGATGGTCTGCCGGGTTGAAACGCGCCGAAGCGGACCCCACCCACCACCCCACCCCACCCATCATCCCACCCCACCCACCACCCCACCCCACCCCAGCCCCTTCCACCCCAACTCCACCACCCTCTTCAACACACCCCAACTGCACCAGCGACTCAATTCCACCCCAGCCCCCCTGCCAAGGTACCAGCCCCACCTATGCACCCAACAAACAATCTCCAACTCCACAACTCCACCCCCATTCCACCACAACCCCCACGCCCAGGCACTCCACCCCAGCTCCACCTTCTCCAACACACCCTGGGTCTCCACCTCAACCCACCCAACCCCAAGTCAACCCCACCACCTCCCAACTCAATCCCTATTCCACCTTCATTCCACCACCCCACCCAACACCCCACCCCACCCACCACCCCTTCAAACAGACCAAGGGTCGACCAGAAAACTCCCGTTGGGGCCAAAAAAAAAGAGGCCGTTGGACCCCTTTGTGCTTGGACAACGAAGCGTGCCAAGTTTTGACCCACGTTTTCACGCAAAGCCAGACGTGTCCCAAGCTTTTGGGGGGTCTGCGATTGATGTCTTCAAAACCTTCCGCTTCAAAACCAATGCATTGATCCAAAAAAGGTCCGAGCCTGGAAGCCCTGTTCCGGGTTCCATGTAATTTGATGCTAGAGCAATTAAATGAATTTGTTGTTGAAGCGAATCACTGGTACAAAGCCCATGGGGGGATGCCCTATTTTCAGGCTACACGAACATCTGAAGAGCTGTGCGTTGCTCGGGGAACCTCCCAAATGGCCATGGGTCGAAAGCCAAACCGATTAGCCCCCAGCGAACATCCGGATCCCATTGGTTTGACCACCACAGCCAAATGATTTGGAGGTGCCTTGTTGGCCCTTCAAAACCATCCGAAAGGGGGGCAAAAGGCAAAAGGGCTTGGTGCCTGGGTGCCTGGGGGTGGGGGTTGTGGTGGAATGGGGGTGGAGTTGTGGTGACTTAAGGTGTGTTGAGGCTGGAGTTGGAGATTGTTTGTTGGGCTTGTCTCCAAATGGGACTTCTTAAGTTGCTTGCTGGAACCCTTTTTTGGAACCAAACGGCGCGGGTCCAGTCAACGAAATCCTCATTTTGCAGAGATCACACTGCCACCCCCCCCCCCCCCACCCATCCCACCCACCCCAGCGCCCCCACCCCAACCCACTGTTCGAACCTGGCATTCGGCATCTTTTCCGGGGGAGGCACGGGCTAAACGGGCCAAACACCAAACCCATGCAACCAAATCCGACGCCAAATCCCATTTGCTTATAAAAGCATTTAAGTCCCCACAAAACCAATCGCTGGACAGTGAAAAACACGGGATCCCTTTCACAGGGGGCTCGGTCGCTGAAAGTTGGGTGAAGGCCTTGCCACCGTTGATGATGTTCACGTTGATGGGGAAGTGCGCATAGACCAGGCGCATCTTGTATTCGAACTTCTTGGTCACACCCTGATGGGCGAAGTGTCAGGGCTGCGGGTGTGGGGTCAAATTTGGCTGGAGTCAACTTTTAGGCTCCCGACTAACAACCGAAAGGGCGGCCAAAATCCATTCGAGAAACTCCCGTGTATCTTACAGGGACGGTGGTGGTGGTGGTGGTGGTGGTGGTGGTGGTGGTGGTGGTGGTGGTGGTGGTGGTGGTGGTGGTGGTGGAGGTTGTGGTGCTTGGAAGTTGGCGAAGGGCATAAACGAGTTAGCTCCGAGTGGCCGGAAATGGTGGTGCTGCGCAGTAAAAAATCAAAATAGGGCACAGACGAGTTAGCACATAAGGGCACAGACGAGTTAGCCATCGAGGGCACAGCCGAAGACGCACCCCCCCAATCCCCCCCACTCCCCCATTCAACCCCTATTCAACGGTCCAACCCCATTCTCCTCCATGCAAGCCCTCGTTCACAGTCCATCTGCTTGCTTCAGCCAGTGTCCTCTGCTGAAAAGGTCAACGGCAACAAAGCCATGTCCTCCAAGTCAGGGCCGTTCGGTAGATAATTTTTCACCACCATGTCAATCAAAAATCACCCTCTGCTGACACCGATGCTCCTGATCGCTGTTTTCATGGACAAAACAGATGAATCCCATCTCCCAATCTGAACTTCGGATTTCGGAGGAGCGAAAATGAGTTCCCCCACTTGAGTGGGGGGTCCACGGAAAGCATGTTCCTCGTTCAAATCTGAAAACAGGACTTTGCCTAAGTCCTCTGGACAAACACCTAAGAACAAAAACCAATAGTGCTGGATTCCCTTTATAATAAAACTCGCAGGGCAAAAAATAAAAGGAACAAATCTGCTTCAGCAAACGGACAGGTTTCTTTGCCCCGAACACCACCTTCCGAACACTGCTTTGCCCCGAGCACCTGTAGACCCTCAACCGAGGTTAGACCCTCAGCCTTAGAGGTTAGACCCTATAAAGCCTAGATTCTAGACCCTAGAGCCTAGACCCTGCATTTCAGACTAGACCCTGGAGCCCAGACCCTTAGAGCCTAGAGCTACCTCGGAGCCAAGATTTGCTGAAATGGTGCTAAAAAAGAAAGATGTAGGGGGCCCGGCTGCCCGGCTCAACAAAAAAACCGCCGTGGAACTTGTGGTTCCAAGAATGAAAGTGGGGAAATCCTGGAAAATCAAAGTGCGCATCCTCCCCCCAAAAGTGCGCGTCTCTCGGGCACTTGCCTCGAAGAGGTTGGAGATGTGACTGCAAACCTGGGACACCGGAATGCTCGAGGCACCGGAAGTTGGAAGGGGCCTGGAAAGGCAGTGGAAGCGGGGTTTGGGGGTTTGGGGGTTTGGTGGTTTGGCTTGGTGGATTGGGGGTATGGGGGTTTGTTGGTAGTCAAAAACAATTGCTTCAGAATGAAGAGCAGTTTCCTAACTTGTGGTTTGGATTGGTGAATTGGTGGTTTGGGGGTAGTCAAAGCAACTGCTTCAGAACCAAGGTCAGAATCCAAACTTGTGGTTTGGATTGGTGGTTTGGATTGGTGAATCGGTGGTTAGGGGGTATTCCAAAATCATTGCTTCAGAACGAAGGGGCAGCTTCCTAACTGGTAGTTTGGATTGGTGGATTGGGGGTATGGGGGTCGGGGGCTTGTGGTTTGGGTAGCTTCCCTTTTACTTTCCACAAGATCCAGAGGTTCAAATCCCGGAACCATCAAATCAAACCACCAACTACGAGTTACCTGAAAGAGGTTGCGGGTTGACAAAAACGAGGTCGGGTCAACACAAAGATGCTTGGGCCGAACAAGACCTCCTGTTTACCACTAAAACCATCTTCCCCGAAAGTAGCTCAAAACCGAGAAAGTGAGGGGGAGGTCCACCAAGCACTTTTAATACTTACGATTCATAACAACAACCATCCACGGAAAACTGGAGAAGTGAGGAGCCCATCCCCATTCCACCCATTCGACCCGGTCGGGGACACGGCCGTGTTCAGCATGGAGCACTGCTTGCTCTTGGCGAAGTACATCCGCGCGATCACCTGGCAGAGGCGAGCCCTGTTGCTCACTTTCCACCGAGTGACTCGGCCGGAAAAAGTGTCTCTTGTTATTCTTACCACTAAGATGGTCTTCCAAACAAGAAGAACAATAGGAACTCGGGGATTGAGAAGTTACCCCCCTGGTAGGTAACCAGCCATCATCCCTTTTGGATTTCATGGGTGGCAGGCCCCGGGTGACCTACAAAACCCAGGAAATAATTTCCCTGCGGGAAATGGAATGAGTGGGAATGGCATGGCCTTAAAATTGACCTGAAGCATGCAGCAAGCGATAGGAAGTTGCCGTGTGATTGACATGCAGCAAAAGCCCACGGTCGCCGATTTGTGCACGCTACCTCTTTGCTGGCTGATTTTACAAGCGGTTTCGAACCCCGCTCCGACAGAACTGGGGTAGAATGGTCGGTCCCTCCCTCCGCCCCATTAGAGGCGTTTTGGGGCGGATGGCGTTCAGCCCGGAAAGAGTTGCCATCCTTAAAACGGGTTTCCAGTTTTGAAGGCTTCCCCAATTCTCTTTTGACCCAGGAGTTGATTCCCCATCCTTCTCGACCATCACAAAGCCGAATACCCCGCGGTTTTGGAATCGGATTTTGGGGTTCAGAATGCTTGGAAGTTACCAACTCCCAACCACCGAACCCGACGCAGTCGGGGTCCAGGCTAAACCAGCGACCGCACCACAACAAAATGGCGAACGTGTTTCCATGATGGTGTCCACTACCCCCAGACCAGTACCCCCCCGATTAAATTGGGGGAATTTGCCTCTATATAGTGGCTAGGCGGTGGCTGTACATCCCATGAAACCCCTGTAATGGTTTGGGGTTAGTGGAAACCATCTTGGAGGGTTGTGTCAAAGACCCAGTCCGCTCTTTTAGGTGGAAATTGGGCCCCTGACAAGGAACAAAAACAAGATGTTCTACCAACGTGGTTTGAGCATTGTCTGGGAAAGGCCAAAGGCCCCAAGCTCACCATGACGCTGGCCCACAAAGACAGCCCTACCAACACCGAATACACGGACAAATGCCCAGAAGGGTGATGTGAAAGAGCTTGCCAAGGACGGAACGAGAACCTCCCTGTCGCAGGCCAGTGACCAGGGGAGAGAAAAAAAAATAAATTTTAGCGGTTGAGTGGTGGGAGTTCAACCACTCAACCAAAATAAGCAAAAATGCAAAAGCCGTTTCCCAACAGCAACCATGAAGGGGCCCCCTCCACAAGGAAAGCATTCAAGATCCGGGCTGGCGACCGATATGTCACCCAAAACCCGGGCGAATCCGGCTCGCTGGCCTTCTTGCCGCCGTCTGCGAGCATCAGCTCGATGGGCAAGTGCTTGAAGTCTCGCTTGAGGCTGCCGTGCTTGCCGCTGACCTGCGTTTTGCGCCCTGGTGCCATGGTTTGTCAACTATGTTTAGAACCCAGGAAAACTTAAACCCCTGGCAGAGCCATTGGGGAGTGTCCATGTTGGGGATCTGTCACTTTTGGCTGTCGTTTTTGGTTTGGGGGGGAGACAATCCGCCCGGTTTATTTATCCGGGGTGTGCATGCAAAAGGATTCTATAGTAGTCTAAGTTTTATAAAGCGATCCACGAGCGGCCCTAGCAACCCCAAGCAAGGTCCTTTGACCGTGGCATATATATATATATATATTCGGGTGCGACGCCCTGAACATGTTTCCGAGTCAGAGTATCGTCAGGCACCTTTCAGGCAGGTACCCACCCCCCACGTACGAGCCTCCTAGAAAATTGTTTTTTGGGGAGAATCCTTGTTGGCTTTGAAGGGAAATCTAAAGTTACGAGCCTCCAGTATGATTTTGTCTCAGGAACTTGAAGATTGAGCTTAGCGTAGCGATGGTCAAAGGAAATGCTCTGGTTTACCAAGCATGCATCAGCCGGTTGGCCCGAAAGACGTGCAAGGCATTCCAAAAAGGGGCAAACTGCCCTCATGCGGAAGTAGGGGCAAGGGAACTCCGATACATAGTTTATAAACGATAAGGCTCCCTTGAGAAAAAAACACACCCATCACATGGCTCTCAGATTAGTATACGAAAAGTTCAGGGGATACGGGGTAGAAACCTTTTCACCTCCAACCAAAACTTGAGAAACCCACGGGGAAACCAAACAAATCGGAAGCCGCCTAATACAAAAAACCGGGTCGAGTCTCACCACCGGCCTCCACGATCTTGGACTTGATGGTGATCTTGCAGCCTCGATGCCCTAAACCTCCCACCCCCACGCTGTTCGGCGAATGCCAGGAGGAATCCGGACAAATTCCCCCCCCCCCCCTCACTTTTGTTGGAGAACACGAGCTTCTCTGAAAGAACAATGAGGTTATCTTGAAAGGACAGAACTGCTCCGGTAAGGGGTAATGAACTTAGCCTGGAGGCGTCCCTGGTATTTCTCAAAGGGCCAACTTGAACCTGAGATGTCGCCCAATGAGACTGATGCCTCTAAGCCACAGCTTATGACAGGGCAACCCGAACTCCGGAGGAATGGCCCTCTCAGAGACCAAAATGACGCCCGACCTGGCACCTCAGTGCGGTTCCGCGGACTGAAGAAATGGGCCAAGTGGCGCTGGCAACTTGTCGAGGGTCTGCTCATCTCGTGGGGCCCATCTCAAGGGAAGGGGGAGCCCAAGTTAGCTCAAGGAAAAGCCCACGTTGACCCAGGATTCAACCCCAGTTTAGTACTACTCGGGGTGGGGAACCCTCCAGTGCTGATTCCCCACCCCCAGAAACACCACCCCCCCCCCATTCATAAACCGGGGTTGACAAAAATCCGGCCGTCCACATCAGACTTACAAAGACCTCCTGAGCTCCGAAGACCACATCGCCATCCGGCAGTCGGACGTCCCTCACTCGCCCCAGGCGCCGGGCCCTTAGGCACCTTCACGGTCTCCTGGGCGGCTTGTTGTCCGAGAAAAGGCGCCGGCGCCGAGCAAGGGGGCGCGCCGAATGAAGGAGCAGCCAGAAGAAGTACGTTTTTTTGGTTCCCCCCTTTTTTAACAGAATATATAAAATTAAATATAATATATATATATATATATATTTCGGGTTTGGGGGGTGATCGGTTCTGTGGGCCAGTAGAACCCATCTTTTTCTATCCAAGCTAACCTGAACAAATAATTTCAGTCTTAAAAACAGTCCAAGTGAGTAAATGGAAACAATATGTTGAAGGGAAGCCGCTGGGGTGTCCCACCCATGTTCACGGGACATATAAAGTACGATCTGGAAAGTGGCTTCCCTGCCCTCTGCAAATGCACACCTTCCATTTGCAGACACGTCTTCTGCAGAAAAAGCAAGAAAAACAACGCGACAGCGGAGATGTCTGGAGGAAAAGTCCGGTGATAGATTCCCCTCTAAAACCAGGACATGACCAAAAAGCGTGGAGCAAGTGGGTTCGGAAGATGCATACGACCTGGGTTCCTTTCGGAAGGCTGTCAGCCTTCACTGCTTTGGATTTGGGGAGATTGAATTTTGCCGCGTGGGTTCACCACCCCGGAACCACTAAACCACCACTCCAATCCGGCAACTACAGGCAAACTGACATTGGGGAGGTGTCAAACGGGGGGGGGGAAAAAGACACGAGCGGCCCTCAGGCGACAGACCCGGCGTCTCCTCGGTCAGCAAAGTCCTCATGGCGACAGTCCTGACATCGGACAGCCAACCCTCACTGCGAAGCAGGGATGTTGATGATTGAACATCACCAAAGCAAAAATAATGTCCGGCATGCACATGTGTATATATATATATATGTATATATATATATGTATGTATATATCAAAGCTACATATATATGCGTACATGCATACTTGTACAATGATATATATATATATATATGAGGTATATGTACGTATTTGTGACGAATATTCGGTAGAAGAGGATAAATGGGACAAATCTGGGTCTGCTGGGTGAAACTAACAATCATGCTGGATCCGCCGCTCCCCCCCCAATCAAAAAAAGGTAAGGAAGGCTGCGCCTGGCGATCAACATCAAGTAGGAAATAGAACTCCTCACCTGATCCAGGCACAAGCATCACCACTCCCGTCACCGCGTAAGCAAGTGATATTCATCTGGGTCCTCCAGTAGAGAGGTCCGAATAAGGGTACCAGCTTTTTTCTGTAGTCTATCTTAGTAGAGGAACCCTCCCCCAAAAACATGGTAAAGGGGCACTACTGGGGGACCTGGTCATTGTGTGCCATGCGGGCCCCGTGCTATCCCTTGATATTTTTGCTGCAGTAGATGACAGTAAATATTGAACGCTGCTACTTCCTTGCCGAGGCGACTTCTGACTTAGGTCAACACTTGCTAGCCCGGATGTGTCTCTCCTGTCTCCCTGAACAAAAAAACAATTGCACTTGCTTGACCCCTTTGGAAGTGACTGAGCTCTACTAACTTGAGTGGTCGTGGCAAAATCATAATTATGCTGCTACATAATTGGGTGTTGAATAGGGGGTCTTGAAGCTTAACAATTCACCCATCCCTTGTTTTCCCGTTTGGGGCACTTAAAAAATGTGGTGGCTACTTACCTGGTAATATTTGCCTAATCTTCAGTTCAACCCCACGTCTTCAACCTTCAACACTTGTTGACTAAAAATCGAAGGATTCCACTGAACTGGGGAATAAACAGTTCACCAAGCCGAAACCAGTCTGGTTCCTTCAATGTATCTCAATGTCCAACCAAACTGAAACAAGCACAAGGCCTCGAGCTTGTCTCCATAGGGAGAGCCTTATGTTGGCTTCGGTTCCCCCCTTTCTTGACTTGAAGCTAGAAAACCATGAACTACTGGCTCTTGAGGCATAATGTTGACCCCGCATGAATAAACCCGTCCTATTAGTAGGGGGGTCTCCCCCTCCCACACGTGGTGAATCCCCACACGGAGGGACACCCCCACTATGAATAAACTGGGATTGATTCACCTGGGGTTCCCATTAACATTGAACTACAAAGACCAAACAACACACCGCCTTTCCTTTCTCTTGGCGACATTCCGACTTGCCCAACGTCATTCGCTCATAAAGAACCAAAACCATCGCGCCTCGCACTTTCACCGCAGTTCCGGCGCGCGTGGCGTGTGAATATCCGCTGAGCCCAAGTTTCGGGAGAGCGCGCGTAGGATCATAAGTTGGAGCCCTCTTTCTTGGGTCCAGGGGTGCTACATACCTCTGTTACATACCCCTTGGACAAATGAACACAAAAGGCCCGCTGATGTTCATACCCCTCTCCCCAAAAGGGGCATATACCCCTTATAAGCGGGTTGGAAACCACGGAAGCCAAGGGGTATGAACACTTCCACCCTTAGATTGGGGGGAGCACGATCTATGTATATATATATACACGTATATGGGTCAATAGTTCCTTTAGGTATGCGTCGGGACCAAGATCGGTGCAAGGGGGGGGGGCTCTCGCAGGGGGAGGGGGGTAACTTGAATTGTACATGATGGACCCTTACAGCAATGTAGGAATCCCTTGCATCGTACTTTGTCCTGCATGCGAATGTCACAGCTTGACATCTTTGCTGCAGTGGCTTAACCCACATTCTCGCAGAGACTAGCTGCGCAACCATGAAATACACGTCAGTCTCCGCGCCTGTCATTCTGACTGCTTGAGTATATTTCACTGTATTGTTCTGTTCATCTTGGAATGCGTCAATCATTCAGTATTCTTTGAGCCCGTTTTTGCACTTTACAGGGGTCGGGGGGGGGATGGTTCCGTTCTTGCTCATGGAAAGCACATCTCACGAGTTCTGCATGTGCAATCATGGTACCTCTACGGAACGGCATTGCTTGCTAACTGAGTAAAAGGCTCGTCTTCTTACTGTTTTTTTCACATGTGGAGACTAAGATCAGTAGACGTGGTCCATCTGCATTCCTTCCAAAAAACAAATCATATTGTTTTTTGATGCAAATCACAATGGAATTGACCACATCCACCGATCTTGGTCCCGACGCATGGCTTCCTTTACATGGGACGACTATTGGGGAAACCACTGAAAAAGTTGTGTTTTCCACTATATGGGAACAGTTACCATGGTCATTTGGGGGCCAGGAATATTGATCAACCCCCATATAGATATATTTTTTTTAGGCACCCCCCCCAAAAAAAAGTGGGGTTCCCTTTGGTTTTCCTTGAGGTGTACCCTCCAATAAAGACACACCCTAAATATATGTACATGTCTATGTATATATATATATATAAATATATGGCCCAATTTTCACAGCTTCTTTCTTCCCCGGGGGCAACGCCAGGAATTGGCCAACCCCTTGGTTTCCCCCAAGGATCCTCTGAATTAGCCGAAAGAGATGTCCTTTCGCCATTGTTCGCCGTCCTTCCAGCGCCACTGAAAACCGTTGGACTCTGGGTCATGATCATTTCCCCTACAAGCGGGGCTCATCTAAAATCGGATCCTCGGGCCAGAGGTCGGGGGTTTGCATTTTAAAGTGCAGACGGTCCAGCCCTGAAACGTCAGTCCGGCAAACCCCGCTGTCCACAGAGGGCAAGTGGAAACCCGTGGAGACCAACTCTCCACCCTCCGGGTTCGACTCAAGGCCCGGAGCGAGCAACCCTGAACGGACGGAAGTGCGCGAACCATGTGGACCCCACTTCCATAGTTGTTTTTTGCTGGTGCTCAGGGACTGACCCGGGTCTTGGGGATTTCGGAGAACCAACAAATAATGGGCCTAGACTTTGTTTTTAATGCACATGACTCTTCTTTTAATCTCCACGTTGGCATGGAACCTGACGCTTCTGGGGTCCCGGTCCTTTTCCGGTTGGACGATGTTCCTTTACAAGGGACCGTTTTTCCGGTGGGTTCAACGTGGCAACGTGGACAGGAGAGTCATTTGGTCCTTTGGTCCAGTCATTTGGTCCTGAAGTACGCCGCATTCGAACTGTGTGGACCCGACTTACGCACGAGAAAACCGAGTCGAATGCGCTCAATGGGAGAACTCCCCGCGCCGCGAATGGGTGGGCTTTCTGGCGGTTTCCCTCACAGAAAGCCCTCAGGCAAGACACAGATCCCCATGTGTTCAACCCATAAAAAAACACTTCAAGAGGACAAGTCATCCAAAATCCGCAACCGAAAAGTGTGGCTATCATGACTATCATGTCCCCAATTGCCCAGATGACTCAATGCAAATTTGGTGCTGGAACTGGCACCGGTCCTTTTCAGGAGCACCAAGCCAGGCGCCGCGGGGAAAAGGCCAAGCTTTCAAGAGCGACCCATTGTTTGGAGATCCTTGCAAGGATTCCCTGGCACAGGTTCCCAAAGCAACCGAGCTTACCATGGCTCATATGGAACTGGGGGATTTCCAATGGTTGGTCTCTACAGGGGCTCTGGAGACCTCTGCAAATTAGGTGACTCCTCCATCGCAGTCTGACTTGTCGACTTCCTATACATGGCCTTGAAACAAGTGAAGCCGCCTTGAAACTGATGGAATCATAGGTGCCAAAAGGAACACATGAGCCTAGTAGATTGTTAAACAAACAGGTCCACCAGGATTCATTTTCGACCGACCCAAAGGACACCCATGGTTGCAATACCGTGGATGCCCTAAATAGTGGAAGGGGACCAAGGGAGACAATAATTTGCCCCCTTGTTTTTCCCGCAGCTTGCGTCAATTGATTCAGGTGTCCTTGGATGTTTTATGCACTCAAATG